AAGGGTCCCGTGACAGAAGTTACATAAATTCGTTTGACCCAAATCAGTTAAGTCTGATACTATATTTGACCAGATTTATCTTAAACCAGTTTCAGCCATTTTGAAACTGATTTATGTGCACTGACCTTGTGTTCTGTTACAGGTTTAAACCAGTTTCTGCTCACTTAAACTGGTTTATGTGCAACTTTGTTAAGTCAAGCACAGGAACACAAATATACATGTGAAAACTACACCCAAAAAAAGGAGCAAGTTCATACAGGGGTAGATCCAGGATGGGTACAGTAGTACAATTGCACCCCTCTTTGATTCTCACTGCACCCAAACTTTAAAGCCAACTGCCTGGGAGTGGTAGCAGCATTTGTATTCAAGCCGCACTGAGGGAGTCAGTTGTCTTCATGGCTCATTATAATCTATCTGACTCCTGTTAATCTCTCTTCACTCAACAAGTGTTAGCAACACTCTTACCTTTTAAATGGTTTTGATGGTCCACTATTTAAGCTAGCCTTTCTTCTGTAATTTTGCTGTATTAGACATTCCTTGTAATTGCTATCATCTATTTCACAGCCCTGTAGATTGTTTTTAGCTGTAGCTAAAAACTCAGAGATGTGGTAATATTAACTCAGGTAAACATAACTCAGGTTGCTCAAGGAGACAAGATTTTCTTTTACAAATCTGAATAAGAGATGTACACTTAATTATAAAGACTGCAAGACTAATGGAACAATATCTTTGTACTACTTTTTGCTTCGTTTGTTGTGTTTTTTCTAAATTTTATATATAATCTAGCTAGAAATTAGTGCACATTCCAATAAAGTTATATTCGTTTTTGCTTTGATCTTAAACTGAATAATATAGTGCTTGTCTCCTAGCATATTAGAAAAGTTTCTAATTTCTTTAACTAGAGAAGACTGTGTGTCGATGTGCTACACCATCTGCACCCCCCCTTTTCAAAATCCTAGATCCACCCAAGAGAACAAACAAGATAAGGAGTTTTTCATATAATCATGCATTTAATATAATCATGAAATGTCATCAATCATGCAGTCTTTTTCAGTTAACTTTCCACTGAAGTTAACATCCTTGTAAAAAAAGACCATTTTTCTTTTATTGTTTTTATGCCATAAGGCCTAGGTTGTTCTGTTCAATAGGAAAGATGGTCCTGTAATTGTCATGCTAGCATGGGACTTGGGTTCAATTTATTTCTCTATCCCAGACATTCCTCATGATTTCTGAGACCATTTTATCTTCCTATGCTGCAGTGCTATGTATGCAAAACAAGGACTACAGTACTTCCCTTTTCACAAGGGCATTGTAAAAATAAAAAGTATTAATTATGATGAGGTCCTCTGACTTTGGTAACAGGAGACATATACTATACAAATGACCTATTCTGTTTGAAAAGTATGTTTAAGAAGATAGTATATCACTTTGAATAATTACACAAGCCATTTATAAAAATAAAATGCATGGTACCAGGTCAAACTGACATTATTTCTCAGTGGAGGTTTTACCTAAGTGATGTCAACATTTGTTCCATGCAATTTATTCAGCTGTTTATAAAAAGTATAATTTCTTTTTCCCTTTGTGTTTTGTTGTGTTCTTTAATCTATGCTAACTGAATGAACAAATGACTATCTAGTGTGGAACTTTCACTGATGTTAAAATGAATTATACGTACACCAGAAATACACCAGATGTCCAGGTCCCTGAGGACTGGAAAAGGGCCAATGTGGTGCCCATTTTTAATAAGGGGAGAAGGGATGAGCCAGGTAACTTTAGGCCAGTCGGTCTTACTTCTATCTTTGGGAAAATACTGGAAAAAATCATCAAAAAGCACTTTTGTGAAGGCCCAGCAGGGGAAATAATGCTGAAAGGAAACCAGCATGGGTTCATCACAGGTAGATCCTGCCTGACAAACAGAAGGTGAGGTTGATGTCATCTACCTGGATTTTAAGAAGGCCTTCGACATAGTTTCGCACCCTATTTTCATAGGGAAGCTAGCAGGCTGTGGGGTGCATGCATACACAGTCAGGTGGGTAGCCAACTGGCTTAGGGACCACACCCAGAGAATGGTACTGGATGGGTCGTTCTTGGCCTGGAAGGAGGTGGGCAGTGGGGTCCCGCTGGGTTCGGTCTTTAGACTGGTGTTATTTAATATCTTCATCAGCAATTTGGACAAGGGTGCAAAGAGCACCCTCTCCAAATTCGCAGATGATACCAAGTTACGGAGGAAAGTTAACACACCAGAGGGCAGGGAGCAGATACAGGCCAATCTGGACAAGTTGGATCAATGGGCAGAATGAAATAAGATGCAATTCAACAAGGATAAATGTAAGGTACTTCACCTACAGAGAAAGAATCCCCAGTACACCTACAGGTTGGGAAATGACCTCCTCAGCAGCTCAGCAGCTGAGAGGGATCTTGGAGTCATAGTTGAACATGAGCTGGCAATGTAATGAGGCCATCAACAAGGCCAATCACACCTTGTTGTGCATTAGCAGATGCATGACCAACAGATAGAGGGAGGTGATGCTCCCCCTCTATGTAGCATTGGTCAGGCCGCAGTTAGAGTACTGTGTCCAGTTTTGGGCGCCGCACTTCAAGAGGGACACAGAGAATCTGGAGAGGGTTCAGAGGGCCACTCATATGATTAGTGGCCTCTGTAAAAGACCCTATGAGGGGAGGTTGAGGGATCTGGATCTCTTCAGCCTTCTCAAGAGATGAAGGGAGACCTTGTAGCCGCCTATAAGTTTTTCAAGGGAGGACAACAAGGAATTGGTGATGTACTATTTACCAGAGCGCCCCAGGGACTAACTAGGAATAATGGGTGCAAACTAGTGGAGAGTAGATTCAGGTTAGACATTAGGAAGACATTTTTTACAGTAAGGGTGGCCAGAATCTGGAATGGGCTTCCAAGAGAGGTGGTACTTTCGCCTAACTTGGAGGTCTTCAAGAGGCAGCTAGACAGTCACCTGGCTGGGGTCATCTGATCTCAGCCCTCTTTCCTGCCAGGGACAGGGGGTCAGATACGATGATCCTTTGTGGTCCCTTCTGACTCTACAATCTAGGAATCTATGAATAAACTTATTCATCTCCAAACAACAAAAAAGAATTCTTCTAGATTCCTCAGTTTTCCAAACTACTTAACAAACAGTTCAAAATCTGGAGAAGCACACAAAAATATGGATTATTTTCTAAATTATCCAAATCACACCATACTGGTAATCTTTTTTAATTTTTTTCATAAATTATCCATTGAATGGAACTTGTATATTCAGAAACAGGGGAAAAAATAAATTAAAGAAAGTTATAGAGTTTTGGGGACATTAAAAAAAGTTTTTTGTGCAAGTTTTAGCATAATGGTTGATCTAGTTTTTCTTTTAGACAGGGTGAGTTGCATATCCTTGACATTTAACTGAATGAGTTGACTTTAATGTTATTTTAGTAAATACAAAATGCTTTATTGTGTTGAAAGGAAGCTTTCATTTATAATCATCAGGGTAACTGATCCAGCAAAGCAGCTCATCCCTATAACTGATAATTATGAGCCCTCACAATGTCAAAGAAAATGCTTCCAGGCTGGTTTCAGCACTGAACCAAGCAAACATATTTCTCCCTGGAGCAATATTTTTTTTAAAAAGGAAAACAGACCTTTTCCATTACCACAGAATCCATACAACTAGTACAATGACCAGCACAGATATACTGTACTGTACTGTTAAAATAATGGCCACCACAGTGAAAAAAAAATGACAGACAGTGAATATCTGAATATAGCAAAGTCCTTTGAAATGTTCGCAATGTGCATAACAACAAGTTTTTTTCTCTCTCTCTCCTTTTTTACTGTGAAAACAGATGGTTCATTCAACCTTATTTTAAGAAGTCTATTTTCACCACAACACAGCTGGATCCACATACTAATGTAAGTAGCATGTCTGGCTCAAACTTCTACGCTCTAATATAATTACTCTTTCATCATGAAATCACACAACAGTCATTTAACTCTGTGTTGAAGGAGTCTATAAGTATATTTTGGATACAATTTAAAAGATCAGTAGAAGAACTGTGGGCAACAAAAGCCTTCTAATGACAAAAAATTCTGTTTGTAGAAAATACAATGCTGTCTGACAGTCTGAATGATTGTTTAAAAAACAATACACACCACTGACATTAAAAGGTGAAAAACTACATCAAGTGCGATGAATAACCGGAATAACGTTTAAGGTACTCAGAGCTAAGTATCACCCTGTCTCTCTCACTCCTTTACCAGCCTGGTAGCAAAGAACTGTGATGTCATCTGAAACCCTCATGTTCCCTTGACCATTGCAAAATAGCTCTAACTTTGGGAATAGTACAATAAGCAAGAACATTTCTTGATACTCATTTAAAACCAGAAACCTACCTGCCTCTTGAACAACTTCTGAGGAGCCAGAAGATATTTAATAAATGCATTGTTAGGCACGAGATGACTGTAAGTATAGATTCATCATTGACCTATTTATATTAGCATTATAACGTAAGATTATGATTACTCTAGCTTAAATAATGCCCCCATTGCTCATGTAAATAATAGCCCCATTCAAAGTAAGCTTTCCAAACTACTTTAGGTAGTTTATAATATTTGTATCAACAAGTAACAAGGATAATTAAGGGATGATGAGGAAAAAAGCATTTTTGCAGACTGCTGTTAATTAATGCTTTGGGGGCACTGAAGTAATCTAAAAGGTCCCAGAAGTTAAACAGCACTAAGCAGTCAATTAGAGAAATAATGACCTGTGAAAGGCTATACATGTTCCTCAAACAAACTAACATTTTCCACAGCTTGCTCAAATAGTTCTGGCAGTACTGTACTCCTGAAGTGTCAGATCTTGTGACTTGACTTGAGGATGAGGGCAGGAAGAACCCAATGAAAAAAATGACCCATGCAACACTTCCTTAAGGACATCATTTACTTGCTCCGTAACAGAGGTGATCATATGTTGAAATAAAAATATATTTACCATGGTGGATAATACCATTGTCTAGTAAAGCTTGGCCAAGATGTACACCTTCTTCAGCTTTGTGTATCTCTCCAATTTCCAATAACCAGGACACAAACTCACTAGATTAAAAAAAAAAATCTTTAATGTTTTTAATTTTTCAGTTCATTTCTATGTAACATCACATACTGTTTTTCTCACAGGTGGCAATGTGCAGTATTCATATTTATATAATATTCTCCAAAATATTCTGCATAAAATCTTTCTATCAAGTTTTCAGTTTTCACTTGTATTTATTATTATAGGAAATAATGATAGTACTGCATATTACTAAGGCTGCCCAACACCTCCTGTTAGGAGGCTTTCAAGTTGCTTGTAACTTTCTCAAACTAACTTCTGAGGCTGAATTTTTGTTATGTTTTTATTATTTCAAATTAAAACTATTCAGCCTTTTCTGAAAATAAGACTAATTACATATATTTTCTTTTATACACACAACTAAATTCTGGTAAATATTTTATTTTATTATAACCTGTAGTGTTCCTACAGTTAGGTGGAATGACTTGAAATTTGGCAGAGGTGTTGCTCAAGAAGGTACTTTACACCGTAAATGTGAAAATCTGACCAAGTTATATATCTTTGCACATGCTCTGTAAAGATTTGCAGTTAAGAATGTCATCCACATTGAGCATGTTTCAGCTGGGGTTGCTCTATAGGACCTGAACAGGAATTTCTTTGCAGGTCCATCTTTTGGCTGCTGTGGGCTATTCCAAGTCCAGGCACCGTAAAATAGCTCTACAGTGTGGCCAAATATAATAGGCAAGAAGCTGTCTTATTTGAAGGCAAAGAGGAGTACAGAGAGCCACAGGAAAGGAGGAGAGAGTAAGGGTTTGGAAGGGTATGGGGGAAGTACAAAAAAGGGAAACTAGCACTGGAAGCTGAGAGTCATACTGGGACTGGCTGGACAAGAAGATGGGATTATTAACTGAGGGGGGGGGAGATGAAAGGGTCTGAGTGAGTATGGAAACAAGTCAATGAGAATGCAGGATGTGGGTGGGTGGAGCAAGGGCACAAGACTGGACATAAAGCCCAGGAAAACAGTTAAGGAATGAGGTCCAGCAGGGATGGATTGGAGGCTACTGGCGATCAGGGATGTGTTAGGGGAAAGACAGACTGGACAAGCAGGTAAGACAGGGAGACTAGAACTGGGTGGGAAATAACACTGGGAACAGGAATTCAGGATTGAGGGAAGAAACAGCAGAGATGGAAAGTCTGAGGATTAGTGATTGGAAATGACTACAGGAAAAAAATGGTACTGGATGAGTGACATGATGAGTTAGGAACAAGACACAGACAGACTATAGGATGAACCTGCCTCAAGCAAGAGATTGGATTACATGACATCCTGAGGCCCCTTTCAGCTCAAATTTTCTATGGTGCTATGAATAGAATCTGGCCCATGGAATGCTATATGATGTTAAATACTCTAGAAAAGTATGGCCTAGAAGTATCCATTAATTTTTCATGCCTAATTTGATCTTGATCTTTCACTGCTCAATTGCTCATCCATGAAATTGAGATAGTACTTCAATTCACTTCATAGGATTGTTGTGAAAATAATGTTTGAAAAATAGAGATGTTACAGGAATAAGCATTATAGAAAAGAATGGAAGTAAATTAATAATTCTGTCTTCAAAACAGTTTGAATAGTATCTAGTTAAATAAAAAGACACAATACCATACATTGAACATAAGGAGAAAAAATGTATTAAAATTGCTCTTTAAAAGAGCACCATTCACTTTGCGCACCAAGTGAGACAGGTGTGCTATAGAAAGTATAGCATGTGATTCTGAATTAAAGACTAGTTTGTTTGAGGAACATGTATAGCCTCTCACAGGTCATTATTTCTCTAATTCATAATGCACAATATAATGCATTGTAAGGTACTGGCAACCTTCATTCTAGTATTTTATAAATTTTGGCTTCTTCACTTTTCAACCTTAATAATATTTGTTTAAGGTAATGTTGTGTATAATGTAGACATAGCTTGCATACATATGTACATATTTGCCTACATACTCAACATAGGAGGTGATATTCCTCCAGAATAAACTATAGAACTTTATGATAAATAAAACCCACAATTCATAATGTTCCTTTGACCTTTGTACTTACACCCTGAACATTAATTAACCTAACTCTTTCTCAAGACTTTGAACAACCTTGTCACAATACAGCCTCTCCAGGGATAGCCGTGATGTCCCTAGGGCCTTGTGACTGTGCCGACTCCGCCCTATGGGTACCTACTAATGTCGCCTGCCATGTCTTGCTGGTTTAAATAATTAATCAGGAGGCTCCCTTCAGGTTGCTGCTCGGTCACAGTCCTGACAGACTCCTCTAAACTCTGTGAGTTGTTGGACCCCTTACTGGGTCCACACTCAGGAGGTGCCTTACAATACTCCAAAGCCTTATGGGTTAGATGTGTGGCTCCAAAACCTCTCCTTTACCATGCCCCATGCCTCACAGGTGGCGCTGGGGCTTTACATGGTAGTGTGCCCCAATGAGGCTTTCTCCCCAATAGCCTCAGCCATCATCCACCAGATTACAGACAACAACCAAAATATGAGCCCCTGGGCTATAACGTAATACAAACAGTACAGGGTGCACTCTGTCTCTTTAAATGAGGCAAATTTCTCCCCAAGTATTAAGTACCTCATAGTCCAGGGTACCTGATGAGCTCATGGAGCCCCATTAGTCCTGTAAGCAGCATATCAATAGGCCACTGCATCTCTGGGCAGTTCTTCTCTGCAGGAGCTCCTTACCTTGGCAGCTGCCAGAGAACTAACCTCTGCTGGCCTCAGTCCTGGGGTTTATATGTGCCCATGGCCCTGACTCCTTCTGGTCAACTGACCAGGTGCAAGTACGGGCTAATTCCCTCATTAGCCTGCTGCCACAGTAACCTGTAGCTGTGGAGGTTCTGCCTGGCTCCTAGGGCCCTCGCACTAGGCAGTTTCTGCCCTTAAAGGAGCAGACACACCTTAGCGCCCTGCAACAAATGCCCATGTTATTTTTAAGCCTACTAACTAGGCAAACATTTCCTTTTGTATTCCAAATACAAAATTTTTTCCCAACTTTATACTGAACTTGCATCTAGGACAGCAATAAATACTCTAAGACAAATGAATGGGCTGAAGTCCTCTATTTCACAGATTTCATAGACATTAGGGCTGGAAGGGACCTTGAAGATCATTGAGTCCAGCCCCCTGCCCCAGGGTTAGGAAGTCAGCTGGGGTCATAGGATCCCAGCAAGATATGCATCCAATTTTCTCTTGAAGGTGTTCAAAGTAGGTGCTTGAACCACCTCCGATGGCAGGCTATTCCAGACCCTGGGGGCTCGGACAGTAAAGAAATTCTTCCTTATGTCCAGCCTGAAACAGTTTTGCAGGAGTTTATAACTGTTCGAACTTGTCATCCCTTGGGGCGCTCTGGTGAACAAACATTCCCCCAGATCCTGGTGGACACCCCTTAGAAACTTATAGGTGTCCACCAAATCGTCCCTAAGCCTGTGCTTTCCTAAGATAGAGAAAGACATGAAGGGCTCTCAGTATACAAAAAACTGACTCCCAAACAAATAAGCAAAAGGGGGCTCTTCAAAGATCAGATAAGCCATTTTGGAGTTATCATAAACCAAATAAGGAGAAAAAATATTCTAACTTCAAAAAATAAAACAATTAATCTGAGGCAGCCTTGTGTTTAACAATATGTTATAGCCATTTTCCAAAGAAATACAACTGTGGAGTAAGATTACACCTGTAAATTTCAGTAAGATTGCTTTAAATTTTGAATCAGTTCATGAAAAAAATTAGGCATGTGAGCAAGCTCCTGCGAATTTTATTTAATAAATAACAGTTTGTATATAGTGACATAAGAAATTAAAATAAATTTCTAGTAGGTTAAAATACCAGTTATAAAAAACGTACTGTACCTTCCAAGAAAGCACTTTGGGAAAGTGGTTAGTTTTCTTTTCCTGTCTTTGATCAGATTTCCTTGTTTGCACATCATTTTGTAGAGTCTCTCTCCCTGCTCTGAGATCATCACCCAAGTATCTTGTTCCATGCCCAGTTTTAAACCTGCCAAAAACATTCTGTCAGTTATATAAATTTCCCAGTAATTGTCTTTATTTTTCAAACTGCATCTATAAACTAATAAGCATTAAGGAATTAATATTTTAGTGAAAAAGGAATCACCAGCTGGACACATTAAATAGTTTTGGACAGCACTTCACTTTACTAACAGTAACTTTTAATCCTCTTAAAATATTTATAGCGAGTTTTCTATAAATTCCTTATTATAGAAGGGCAATGAATGGTATTTCTTGACCATACATACCCCTACTCTTAGGTTAATATCACAATAAGGAACATTAATGTTATGATTTCCATTTACATCAATTGAACCTATGCAGTATTTCTCCTTCAAAATTCAGAGAAAGAATTACTTTTCACCTTTTACTGGGTTATAGATTGATTTGTAACTACACACACAGTACCTTAAAAAAAACATCTACACATTAACTAATTAAACCAAACACCCCTTTACTATGCCCAGGTAAGTTTAAATTAGTTCAATTCTACACATTGAAATTGGTGCTTTGATTCTTATTCACTTCAGAAGACTTCAGAGGGTGGTAGAGTGGGGTTAAGAATTATATAAGCTTTTCAGTTTGTGGTTTGTTAATCTTTCTCCTTGTTGTTCTGCTTCTATTTTCAGCATATGACAACTATTACTGAATAAGAGAGCTTTTATTACTCCAAATATAGTTTTCCCTGAATTATTTTAGTCTACTTATCAAGTCTTGTGCTCCTAGGGAACACTGGAGATCTACACAGTCAATCTCCTTTATCTAGAAAGAGTTGCAAATTCTATGTAAAAACATAAATCTGTGCATTTTTTTGCTTATTTTAGAGAAAAATTCTTAATTTATCTGTTTTTTCAAATTTAAAAATAATAAATGGAAATCTTCAATAAGAATAAGGAGTTGCTACTTAAAAATTTTATTAATTCTGCAAATACACATAAGATAAAGGTAACATTTGTGAGAAAAATACAGCAGGTATGGACAACATGTGGCACATGTGCCACAAGAGCAGCAGTTCAGGCAAGGTGCACAGGAGAGGAAGCAGAAACTACAGCAGCAGATCAGGCGGGGGACACGGGGCAGGGCAGGGAGCGGAAAGCAGGGGTGTTTGTTTAGGTAGGGAAAGGGGGTCAGAGTGGCACTTATGGAGAGTTCAGGGCTAATTTGTGGCATGCCTGCCAAAAAGGGTGGTCGCCACTGAAATATAGTATTTAACATGGATAGAAAGAGAAACATACACCTGATATTGTTAATAAAAGACAAATAGCTTAACCAATACACTGATTTACAACAGAATAGAACATAACCAAAACACTGTTCTAAGAATTTATAGGATCTGGATGCACTGTACTTTAATCTGTTGCCATCATTCTTTTAATCAGGTAAAATACATACATAAAGCATAAATGTACCTTCTTATTAAAGCACTAAAAACAACTAAAATATCTCAATGACTTCCTTAGGCGGTTCCATAAAGAGAACAAAAACTAGTGAAAAATCTTTTTTATCTATTTTTTCTGATTAAATCTGAGTTTTCATAGCACCAAAAATATACAGATATACAAAATTGTCCTAGTCCATCTCTCAAATTTGAGGACTAAAATCTACAGTAAATCCAATATTTCAACTACAACTTTTGTGTGGATTTCAGTTATAAATATAGGCTGAGTTTCCCTCAGTACATTTCACTCAAGTACATTTAATATAGCATTTCAACCTATCTATTTTGGAAGAATTGCCACTGCCAAAACGTATGCCTTCTGTTTAGAAGAGAAATTAAAAGAGATTAGAAGAGTGGTTCACCACCCCAAAACATTAGCATTCTCTCAGTTCAAGCAGTTCCATATTTTTCTCCTACTTGTAACAAATCTTTTCTGTACTAATCCAGCTTGACTAAGTACAGGCATTCAAAAAAGCCTGAGACAGGTTAAAACTAATTTACATGGGCTTCTCCAAGTGGACTAGGCTAGTCCAGGAGTGAATGGAACACATGTTCACCCTTGGGGTTGGGGGCGGGGGAGAAGGAGGGCACAAAGGCTGCCTGCACTAACCAAAGCCATCAGGTTGGGGATGCTCCTGCACACCTCCCAGCATGCCAGAGACTGCCAAGGGCAGCCAAATGCAGCTGAGCAGACGCCACCTCTGATTTGGCTGCTGGGCACATGCCCCTACTTCCTTCCTCCTACAGAGCAGCTGGGCCACCCCTAATTGGTTGCTGGGCACATACTCCTAACCCCCTTCCAGGAGAGCCCCAGAGTGGGTCATCATGGTATGTTCCCCCCATCACTGCCAGCTGGGCTGCCCAGCACACTAGAAGGAATTGCACCAGGTGCCTGCTACTGCCACCTGCAGTTCCTTGGAGCTCTGAGGGGCCTGATCCTTCCTTCTGTGGAGCACCTCCCCCCATCCCCCCACGCCTAGGGACATTGTTTTAAAATGGAGCTAAGGACAGAAGATTTGCTGGCTGGCTCTGTGACAGCCTGGGGGAGGGGCCCACTGTGTGCTCAGCCAGTGCAGCAGAGCCTGGCAAAAACCTAGCAGGCTTCCCTGCAAGAGAAGGCTAGAGGGAGCCTGCAAAGCAGCCTGTGATGCCAGTGGATGGTGACCCAACGTGAATCAATAGGGGACCTGATACAAAATTTCAATAGACTGGTCTAACCTAAACCAACAAAGTCTGATACCTCATCAATCCAGATCTATCTTAGACCAGGTTCCGCCATCTTTAAACCCGTCTATGTGCCCAAAACTGTTCTGTTGCAGGTACAGAAGTTTCCAGTCACTTACGCTGGTTTATACGTAGAGCTTGTACCTGGCCTATAATGTACTATATGACTACTTCCACAGGTCAAATTCAGGTTGAATGTCCTGATGACAATGTAATCAGTTTCCCTCCAGAAAGGAAAGCATCATATCATAAACAACTTATTAGAAAAAACTTTTAAGGCAGTCAGTGAGATGTTTGTCTAATTATGGTTTTATAGGATCATGACATATATTCCAAATTGTTCTATTTAACAGAATGCCAATGGAGTAGAAAAGCAACAGTTATAGTAAACTGCACAGTTTGTGAGGGAAAGATAAATCAAAGAGATTTCTTTTATTATTTTTTTAATTGAAACAAGACGATTAACAGAAAAATAAAATCAACAGAATATTAGCAGGAATAAACCAATCTCTAGTTATAATGTTATATCCTAACTCCTACAGGGGATAGGAAAGACATATCAAAATTCTTCAAACAACAGCTACCAATATCCTAATTAAATGGACTGTGCCTGTCTTGATTTTCATGAAGTGGACCAAGCTATTCTCCGTTGTGCGTATGCAACTGCATAGATTTCAAAAGAGTTGCACACATCCAGATGAGCAGGTTTTGGCTCTGCATCTTGCTAAGTAAACATAGAATTAAAGCGCCTTTATATTCACAATGAATAGGAAATTGTTTATAGTTACTTTTAGATGGGATATTCGAATTTTAAGAGATATTTGCTTGGTTGGTGAGTCATCTGACATCCTGCTTGTAATTAAGTTAATGCATCCTGCCTCATAAGAGACGTGTTTATACAGATGTTTGAGGAAATATCTAGTTTAAAAAATGTCAGAACAACATAAATTTTGACATGATTCTAGGTTGGGACCTCATTCACCTGTTCCCCTATTTACTTTACCTTTATAGCTTAATTATTTTCTTATTGTAAAGTCCCATGCTGAAACCCAAACCTATAAGATATGCATAAACTGGAGTTTGGTTCAACTCAGTAAAGGCGGCATTTAGATCTGAGCTTCACTATATTTGGGGGAGGGGGGGAAGAGAAATCAGGCCCATCTTCACTGAAAGCAGCTTGACAGCTAAATGTTATAGGACCAAAGTACATAATATGTATTAACAGTATGTCAACATAAAACACTATCCACGTGTCCTCCTTTTCCATCCCTGGCCTACAGCTGTCAGGAGACTGAGGAAATTAGATTAGATGTTAACCAGGCATTGAGACAATAAGGCCACATTGACTAGAACCTCTCCAACCATTTGTACAAACAGCCCTAAACCAGAAGCAGAAACAACTCTAGTTTTATGGACCGGCCTTCTGCACTAGTTTCTTCACTTACCTCCTCAATTGCCAAGTTCCTAGATGTCTGCAAAATTTCTTCACCAATATTTATTATATAGCATCTAGATGCTCCAGTTGCAAACAGGGCAACTGCTACTGCTGTACAAATATACTATAAGTGCCAGTCCTTGGCCTTGAATATCTCACAATCCAAATAGAAGAGAAACAAAGGGTGAGAGAAAGGAAATATTATTATTCCCAATCTGCATATGGGGGACAGGAACTTCCTCAAGTCACATCAGAAATGTGTAGAAGAGCCAGGACTTGAAAACAAATTGCATCAGTCCCAGACTATTACCCTGTGCATCCTACCTTTCATCCCCAAGAATCCATTATGTGTTACTCTCTATAGCATTTTTGCTGAGGAAGTGGTGAAGGAATAGGGTTGGTGTCCTACTTATTTCTGGCACAGGTTGCATGTGGAGGTATACACATTTACTAGTTTTACTGTTTAGAAGATAGCCTTTGCTTAAAAAAAAAAAAAAGCAGGATCCTGAAGAACAGGTATGCCAGCGGACGGTATGCCACTGAGAATATTGTGAAGACAACTAGCCTGAAACTAGAGCATTTATAGGCATCATTTGAGAGTTATTTGCATCAGATGGTGGATCAGCTGGACAAAGGACAGACATGGCAAACCTGCTCATTTCAAAGACATTAGTATCTAGTCTTAGCATGGAATCAACAGATACAGACCTCAGTGGAGCCAGTTTATTCCAGCTCATGATCAGCTTCAAGGTCTATTAAGCCAAAGAAAAAGGCAGGTTTCGGACTCCCACAGAAGCACAAAATATCAATACACCTAGATTCTGTCTTGTTCAGCAAAGATTCCTTTCTTAGATGAAGTTTTCTTTTTTTAAAGTAATTAGTTAACAAAATCTCCACAGACCATTTGACACAATGCCGTAAGTATACTTTATCAAAGCCTGACACCTGGCTATATATTTTATGAAAATAAAAGTTCAATACAGCCTCCCTGCAATGAAACAAAATAAAATTTGTTAACCTACCTTTTCTTCTTTCTCTTTCTTTCAGAATAGCTTCTAGCCATTCTTGCTTCTCTTCAGGAGTTTTTGCCATGCATACAAACCATTTGTTCTTTGCTGTGTTGTGAATCTTCCAGCCATTAACAACAATGTGGCCACTGCTATGATAGTCCGCTGGAAATGCATAACAAAAATCATTTAATAGAATAGCCTGGAGTGTTTTAAAATAGCTAATACTAGAGTTTACTGGTCCCAGATGCAGTGTTTACACATGTACCCAGGACTGCAGCATGTTGAGCTGGGGCAGTGCAGCCCTAGCTGGTAGGGGAACCTGGGGGTCAGCCTGCCAGCCCAGGGCTGGTCCAACCAGGCTCAGTGTGCTGTGGAGGGGCTGGCTGGGGCATGAGGGTGCTACAGTACAGGGCTAGCTGGCAGGCAGTACCTGAACTGTAGCATCCTCATGCCCCAGCCAGCCAGCCCTGCCACTATGTACACATGTGCTGCAGCAGAGCAAATAACTTTGCCATACGATAGTACTTCTATCAGGCAGTACTAACCTATGGCAGAGTTAATCAATTTACTTTGGCTTAAAAGCTGCTCCACTTGTGTAGACACAGACATTTTACTGAGGAGCTAACTAGGCAACTATTATGTAGATGCCCCTCAGTGTAAGCACATCATGTAGATGCCCCCCAATGTAAGCTATATTGAATCTCCATACATTGTATTCCTTGCAAAGCAATCTTTCAATAAATTTACTGTTTTTGAATGGTCCTAAACTGTCAGCCTTGGAGTATGAATTCTTCTATGAATCCACATAACAGATTTAGTGTAACAGATTTAGTATAAGCAGCTTTCCCATATTATGTTACCCAAGTATCTTGCCATCAAACCTGACCCAGATGACAAGGGAAAAGAAGGTCGTTCAAATCTCTATACCTATACAGTACTTGAATTCCAGTTAGACTGATGGAAAGACAGTTTCTTAATGACACTAATATTTGCAAGCTGCCACTGTCTCCTGGTTAAAGGGCCACATAGTATAACCTAGCTACCTCCAGATTTAGGGCTAATAAACTTCTCTTGATTCACAGATTTTCTATTAACATTAACTGCTCAACAAGAATGTATGGTCTTTGCATTAGATTCCACAGCATTCAGTGAATTTAGTGTTTTTTAATGTAAGAGAGAAAGAATTCCCTACCAGATGGCACGAAGGATATAATTTAGATTCTAAATGCAATAGCGTTTGATTGAAAATAATTTACCATAAAAAGCTTTAAAGGGTTGAAAAAAATTCAAATTCAATCTGATGCATAAGCAAATAAGACACACTGTGCCAGCATATAGCCTTATTGGACTTATTTGAACTGAAGTTTTATCCAAAGAATCACAAAAATGACTAGTTAACCTTAATGTGAATATAAATGAACAAAATAATGAAATTTGCTTTGATTTCAAAATCAAATTTATCTAATGCCCACTTTATTCAGAATACAAGTGTACAATTGGCACAGAAAATAACATTTATCATAACTTTTTTGGTTCCAAATTTTTGCATTTTCACCTATTTCAAAATAACCCAGGTTTATCTTATGAATAACAATTTCCTATTAATATATTATTCATTATTGTAACTTTTGATAATAGCATTTCAGTCTGTGAATCTTATCCGGAAATCTATTACCAGGCAATCTTTCACAATGTAACTAATGTCATTGCCTACAGTGAAAATGCTTCAATAAGATTATGTGTAGTTCCAGGAGGCAGTACTATTTACAAACCCCTAGTAACAAATTACAACAAAATAATTATATAGAAACCTAAGTTAAAACTGGATTTATCACCACTGTACAATATATAATATCAAGGGTTAACAAACTCTTGTTAAGGAGCAAGAAAAAGCTATGGCCTGGCTTGAACCACCCTAATAATTTCAATAATTTACAAATACTTTTTCATAGTTCAGTCCAGTTTTTTAAATGAGATGGGATTTTCGAAAACTGAAATCTTTGTAAAAACGCTTGCTGAGAGTTATCATAAATCTCAGCAGACATGCTGATATCCTTTCAATAACTCTGCATTTTAATAAGATGGAATACAGCCAAGTATTGTATGCACAGCCTGGGAAATGTCAGTAACTGCCATAATTTATTGTTCAGAGAATCTGAAAACTGATGACTAAATATTCAGCTGAAGAGTGACTCTTGTGTTCAAAAGCACAAGTGTATAAGAAAATGCAAAAATGGGAAGGAGGGGAAAACTTATGTTAATTAATTTTACACTATCATCTTTCTTTATAATATTTACAATTTTTTTAAGCTGCTCATTACAGCAATACCTGAACACCTCTAAAACAAATAGCCATGAGAGGTATGGAAACAGTATCTCTATAGGGAATTGAGACAGTTAGGATTATGGCTGTTTACAGATGTAAAAACAAAATAAAAAACCCAAAACAGTGCTTTACTTTAAACTCAAAGCACCCCTGTGCTGAGCCCAGCACATGCCCAGAAGAGGCATCTCATTAGTTTGAACCAGCTCACCCAAAGCACCATATACATCAGGCACTTTGGTGGGGCTTTTTGTCACTTTTATCTAATAGCTGATTGAATCAGCTGTTAGGTAAAATTGCCAAAAAACCCTGCTGAAGCGTGCGATCTATACAGACACTGTAGAGCCAAGTCAAACTATCCTGCTGCTTCTTCCAGTAAAGCACATTTTCTATTTATTTTTCACATCTGTCAGCAGCCCATGTGGCTATCCAAAGGTCATGCAGGAACTCTACAGCACAGCCAAAAAGAGAATCCAAACTTTCAAAGTACTGAACTGGTATTATAACCAGAATCTAATAGTCTGTTAGACCGGGAGTTGGTAAAAGCTCCTATAATCCAAGTTGCCTAACATTATCATTACAGATGATTCTTGTATCTTTTTAAGAAACTCTAACTTCCTTTTGCAGAAGTCTTTGAAATTTGAAAAATGGAAAAGTGTGGTAGAGAAATGCCCTTTCTTTTTCTCATATAATTCCATTCAAGTCTTGCTGAGCAATAAATTGCTGGTATCACCATTTCCTTTCTTTTGGATTTTCCCTTTCTCTTGGCAGCATAATTAAAATAATATTTAAATTAAATATGAACATTATATCACTGGTCCCACCAAAAACAGCAATAGCAGTAGCAAACTATTGGAAAGTACTGGTTAAACAGCTATACCAGAAGACAGGAGAGTTGAGCCAGGCTGATTCTTTCCCAGACATCCCCACATTAAATAGTTAGCCCTTAAGGCCCATGTTCCCCACTCCAGACTGAACTCTCCCAACTCCCAACCAGAACTGGAGAGAAGATAAGGCTGAATGAACCATGCAGCCTTTTATCTACTGTCCAAATCCAGCACATAAATAACAACCTTCCATTCAACTTCACTGATACAGCCCTGGGCTGTGTTGCTGAAGATTCAGGATACATAATAAGTGACTTCCTACAACTGTACGTAACTGTTTTTTTTCCTGAGGAAAAGATCATGACATTTTACAGAAACTATTTTAAATAAAATTAAAGTTGCAAACATTTGTAAAACACTGTAAGGAAATTCTATATATAAAATTGCCTGCACAAGATTAATTCTACCCCTTGGATGTATGTTCACACAGTCTTTACCTGCATTACAACTGACTGGTTGTTTTTTTTATGGGAGGGTGGGGGTACAGTTAACAGCATGAACACTTTGGGGTAAGGGAGGAGGGAGAGGAATTAAGATTGTGTAAACAAACATACATCTGGCATTTCCTAACTTCCATGTGCATGAAGCCTCAATAATATTCCTTTAACATCATTTGTATTATATGTATTTACATGTTTTCAAACATGTTTAAAAACATTTTTAAAAAACTGAATAAAAGACAGACCATACAAACCTTAAAATGACAAATAATGTACATTGTACTCTAATCAGTATAATCAGAAAACTGACACCGTGGCTCATGATTTTTTAAACAAAAACAAAATGAAAAGCTTCCATAAGTTGTGCTGCTCAGCCCAAACCTAGCTTCATCAAAGAAAAAAAAACAAAGACTTTTAGAAAAAGTATTAATTTCTTCAGACTTGTCATTTGCATTACAATAACTTTTACCCATGAACCTCTCTTTCAGAAGCCTTTGCTTCTACTTACAACAATGAAGACTATGACACTATCTTTCTTCATCTGTCAATCAAACTATCCCACTAGAAAGTTCTGTTACCAACTCCTCCAGAACCACTTGATAGACCAATGAAGTCAAGGGAGGTATGTCAATTTACACCAGATGAGAATCTGACCCCCATGATCTGAAAGGAACAAGGTTGTCCATTTAAGCCTTGCACACCAAAAATATTGCCCATCAGATCTGAAAAAGAAATCACCTAGAACTCTACTAGCCTTTATTGTTTTTACCCGATACATTTGTATGGTGATTTACAGAAACAAAAAAACAAGACCCATGTTCCCTATAGTTTTCAAACTAAATTAAAAACCTGAGAAAATGATGGCTATTGATTAATAAAGGGAAAAAATAATTTAATTCCCAATGCACAACCGATATGAATTAAATGAATTTTGAAAGAACATGGCATTACATTTAGGAATAACACATGGCAAAAGACAGAAAGGTATATCACCAAGTAAGAGGTCAGCTGTAGAAAGCAAGATAAATAAAATGGGTTAGAGGTAAAACACTGAAAGGTATCAAAAGAGGATGCATTGGATACACTGAAAGACATGGGAACACTTTGAAAAAAGGCATAAGGACATGACTGGGCAAGGAAGAAAGGATGCATGTCAAGGCACACAACAAAGTAGCCCAGTATTGATTATAAGAAAGGATGCATATAGGAGAAAGAACTGCAAGTACTGTCAGGAAAAGAGCTCTGTCTGAGGACCTGGAAATGAAGCTTAGGCTTTTCAATATCATATGGAGATCCAGTAAGAGGATACAAGCAATGAGTGATAGGCAAAAACTGCAGGAAAGAACAAATATTTTAGCACACTGGTAAAATTAATGAAAGGGAAGGTGAAGTCAGGGATTCAGGAAAAGAGGTAAATTTACCGTAATCCAGGAATGAGAGAGAGAACCAACAGTGAAATCTGGTGTCATAGGCCTAGGAAAAAAGGTAGGAGTGGATTTTGGAAATGTCAGACAGAAGTAATAAGATGTGTTAAATGAGGAAAGGAAGAAGGAAAGGTAAGCCCAAGCTATATGTCTGAAGTGACAAAGGAGATAACATTTACTGTGGTTTTCAGAACTAAGACAGAGATTGGGTGACCATATGAGAATAAAAATGAATACTTGTGTCTAACTAAAGGTACATACAGACATTCAGAGAGGTTTGAGTTAGACTACATTAAACTGCATTAAAATTGCATTAGATTGCATTAAAAATGGCCACCCAATCTAACTTAGTTTGCCCAGGTGCAGACCTTACTCTTAGATCCCTACTTTAGTAGATCTAAGTGAGAACTGTACAGAAGTTCAGGAAGTTTAGATCAATCTAAACATGGCTGACCTGATCTAAATTAACTGTACCTCCAAGATAGTCTAACTTAAATTGGTCTCACTGGACCTGATCTAACTGAACTTCTGTACAGTTTCCAGTGTAGCACCCTCAGACCCCACTTTCCCCTGCAATCCTCTCCAAGCCCCCTAATTACTCCCCCATCCCAATTTACCTTAGAACAAGTGGCCATTTTGAACTCACTCTAACCTCCCCCTAACCTCCTGCAATGTCTGTACATACCCTAAATTCAGCTTGAAGAGCCAGTACGATATCCAAGACAAGCCAATGAAAGGGGAAGAAATATTTAAGAGACTTGAAAAAATGGGGGGGAAAAATCAAGGTTTGGGAAGCAAGACAGGACAGTCATGAACGCACCAGTGATATGAGAGATCATATGAGCAAGTAAATTTACCCATAGGATGAAGATGATGAGGAAAAAATACGGGCGAAGCAAACAACAGATAGACATAGGAAAGGCCAAAATGTTCAGAGCTATTTCTGCTTTGTTTTTGTTTTTTAACAAAAAGTATTAATTCTGACCAGATGTTTACCACAATAAAAATCAGCAATGAGGGTTGGGAATACAAGACAGAAAAAAGAACAATATGAAGAAATCAGAGAAACTAGATTCATTCACATCAGCAAGACCTGATAAACTTCACTCTACAGTACAAAAGGAATTAGTTGAAGCAATCTCTGATCCATAAGTTATTATTATTAAGAATTCATAGAGAACTATACAGCAGTCATCCTAATTTTAATACCAAAAAAGATAGTGGAACAAATAATTAAATAATCAATGTATAAACACCTAGAATAGTGGTTTTATAATGCTCTCATAACATTTGTGAATTGAGGGACACCCCATTTAAAAAACTAATGTATTTATTATAGTGCTAATCTGCTTGTAGAGAGGCTAGGAAGGACAAGGAGCAGCTGGGCAGAAGCACCTGCATTGCAATGCATGGGGGGAGGAGGAGCAGCTGGAAAGGAAGAGCCTACATTTATCTCATCACTCATGCTTATCTCCTCTCTCCCAGCATCACCCTTCAAAGGCTGCCACAGCACTCTGGTTGAGAATCACTGACTTAAAGAATAATAAAGTGATAAGACACAGCCAACATGGATTTGTTAAAAACATGTCATGCCAAACAAATGTAATCTCCTGCTCCTCCTAAGCAAACTCGCTTAGCAGATATGAGAAATACAGTTGATGTGATGCATCACAACTTTTGTATAAGATTTTTAATACAGTCCTACATAACAGTCTCATAAGAAGAGAAGAAAAATGCAGTCTAGGTGAAAAGAGATACTTAAAGAATAGTTACCAGCAGTTTACTATCAAACTAGAAGATTTATATAAATTGAGATCCTGGCAGGGTGTGTTACAGGACTCTGATCATCATGAGCAGATCCAAGAACACTATGATGTGGAGCAGCCACATCACCCCACCCCCATGGATCCGCCCCTACTCACCATTTGGTACTTTTATGAATTACTTGGATAATGGAGTACATTTATCAAATGTGTGGATTACACTAAACTGGGAGTGGCTGAAAGCACTGTAGAGCACAGCACAAGTCTAACGGCAAGTTAAGGAGACCCCTAGTCATATGCAAAGACCAGGGAGGTAATTGTTCTTCTCTGCATGACACTGATAAGGCCTTAGATGGGCTTATCAATTTTGCAAATCAAACTTCAAGAAAGAAACAAGCAAATCAAAGTGTCAAGAATGAGGTTGGGGTGGCGTTTTTTGGAGGGGGAAAAAAAGTCGGTCTTTCCATTAAAATTTTAGTTTGAAAACCAAATTTTTTACCAAAATATTTTCAGTTTTCAGTTTCGATTTTTTAAAAGTGAAAGCAAGTAATATTTTATCCCACTCTATGCACTGTATTTTTTAAGATAAGTCATCTAAAAACTTATTTTGTTGCAATTACAGCATGTAACTTTCAAAATTGTTTTTCTGAATTATATAAACAGATATGTCCCATATAAAATATACAGAAGTGAAATACACTATCTTAGTCAAGGAAATAAATACCAGCCTAGAATTTCATCATCATAATGACTGTTGCCAGTTTAAGTCAGTCATCTGTGAATGGCTGGCTAGAACAGCGACTGCCCAGAAAATAATGTATGAAACCAATGACACATTTCAGAAGCACAGTATTAATGGAACAATCTGCCTCTATCCTAATTTCCTATAAATCAGCACTCTCTTCTCCCTCAGAATGCCAATGAAAATTGCTCACACTTCACAGGAGATGCTTGGAGCTGACAGGAACAGGCTCTGTAGGTTATAACTGATAAGGGCAAATATACTCACCTGTACCATCATCTACATTCTCTACTTCCATCACCTCTGTGTTTATTCTGCCTCGAAAGAGATACCGATGGCCATCAGTAGATGCTTTGCTGTTCTTCAATCGCCTTATGAAAGAAAAATGCACAAAAAATTGTCAAAACAGCACATTTTGTTTCTATTACTTTACTACTTGCGTGTATTACAATAATGGCTCGAGGCCTCTGTAAAATGCAAGACCAAACTGAACCAGGGCTGTAAAACCCAGAGGACAGAAATAACCTGAACTCTATCATGAATTAGTATAATTTTGTCATCACAGTACTATCACATGGTTCAGGTAGCATAAGTCCAGGAGGGACTTAAATTAAGATGAGTTCACCCTCTGTGTCCCCCACCCTCCCCATTCCCATTCTGGTCCCTTTTTACCAGTTGCTCAGTTTGTTAATAAATAACCTATGGAGATGAAGTATCTCATTTTTTATCATAATCAAAATAACAAATCATTTTGGCATGTTAAATATTTTTTCATCCGTTCTCAGTTTTATCAGCTCATGACACTTTTTGAACTGTTAAAAATTCTGCAGCTGTTCTCATTTCTCTACAATCAAATTCTTTTCTCAGCTTCAATTATGTCACATTCCCTGGACAAGGAATATGTTCCTTTTTATTCCAAAGTGAATGACTTCAAGCACATCATGGTTTAGGACTGTGATAGCCAGGTGGTGAATACACACAGTAAGTTACTTTCTTTAATTTTTTGAGCACAGATTTTGCAGTATAATAACTACATTAACGGCCAACTTCAATATGCATATGGAGCAGAATTTCTTCAGAGGGACTTACTTAATAAAACATCATTCGAAAACAATTTAGTAATAAAAAGTTATTAACCATAGAAAGTCTGATTGACACTGCAAATAATTTCTTCTTCAAGTATTAAAAGAGAACATGACAAGCATTGTAAGCAATATAAGTTTTGAATTCCAGTAAGTATACATATCGTTCACATACCTTTACACAAATTCTCTCTCAAACAAAAAAACAAAAACCAAAGACAAAATCCCTAATTCCTCCTACTTGGGCCACCTTTCTTTGAACAAGTCAGTTGACGGCTCATGTGACTGTGCAAGCTCTGCCCTAAGGGCGCCCTCTTATCTCGCCTGCCACGTCTTTGATGGAAAAATAATGGGAGGATGCCCACTAGCCTTCACTTAGTCCTGGCTCACTGAACCTTACTCAAGCTCTCTGATCTGTAGGCCCTATGCCAGGCCTCTCTTCAGTACAGTGCTGCACAAGGCACCTCAGACCTTATGGGCCAATTAAGTGGCTCCAACCACCCCTTTACCACGCCCCATGCCTTGCAGGCATTACATTGCTCTTATGTTCTGTTGGGGCCTTGACTGACTCAGACTCCGCCCCTTTGATATAGCTAGGCCTTCCAGACTAGACCCACTGTATTGGGCCTGGATTTGAGGCACTGGCCCACAAAATCTTTTTATTACTGGGCCACTGGCCCTTGCAGCTTCTAGATTAGTTCTAGGGAAACTTATGAAATCATGATATTGTGGATGTTGTGGAAATCATGAAATCTGGCGTGTAAAATCCAGCAATGTCAGCAAAATCCAAAAAAAACCCACAAGCTTATTCTAGCCAATCATTAAACAATAAAATGCTACCTAGAGGGAGCCAGCAGTCCTCCATGGCATTGCAACCCAGCCATGCAAAGCACTGGGGGGAAGGAGGGAGGGAGCTGCAGGCATGAAGGGGAGCCCAAGATGACTGCTGCTCCCACCCCTCACTGCTGACTGTCTAAAAGGGCTGCCTGTCAGGTAGCCCCACTGCTCACCACCAAATTGGCAGAGAGAGGTGGGGCTGTATGATGGACAGCTCTTGCAACCAATCAGCAGTGAGAGGCCGTGCAAGCCGGGTCCCTCAGCCAGAGGTACAGGGGGCCCTGCCACAATCAGCCTATGAAAATGGAAGCCAGCCCCATGATCTGCCCACAAAATTGGCCAGCCGCCTCCTCAAGTTGGGTAGACCCCTAGTTATGTCAAGCAAATTGTACATGCTATACAAAAATATTAAAGTTCATAAATATTGATCATAACAAAGGTCTCCAAGCAAAGTCTTTATCAGTTCAAAGGTGACAGGTATTGTTTTACTTTAAACGTACCTATCAGTCCCTGCGACATTCCAGTCCCTGCACTCCTGGAAAATGAAACTGTTTCACTTTAAGCTGATCAAAGTATTTTAATATTATAAAAGCCTTAAGTCTGACTTTGTCTGTCTGTCTGTCTGTCTATCTGTCCGCACTCTGATAGACTGATTGACAAGCAACCAATGAGAGTGCAAACAAGCATTCCAACAGGAGCTGGCAGCAGTGAAGTGCTGCCATGATGGCAGGGACACAGTGAATGGAGGGGTGGGCAAGGCCAGCGCAGCGCCCTGCTCCCTGGAGGCAGGGGCAATAGAGTGGATGGACCAAGGGGGTCAAGGCCTTGCAGGTGATGGCAGCAGCAGCATGGGGGGGAGCAGGATTGGGATGCCACAGGGGGTGCCAGGCCTCTGGCTCTGGCCTCAGCCTGCCCCCTCCCCTTCCATCGTTGTTGCCTGCAGGGCCCGACATGGCAGCAGTGTGGGGAATAGCGGGCATGCCACAGCAGCGGTGGGGGGGAAGGGGAGGAGTGGGTCTAGGTCTGATGTGGGGAGAATGGGACCCGAGAGTGGGGAGAAGATGGGCCACTGCAGTGGGGGGAGCAGCAGGCACAGGCCAACCCAGCAACGGTCAGGGTGATGGCAGGTGCGGGTGCTGAGCTGATGCTGGGGGAGTGGAGGAGGAGTGGGACCAGGGCAAAGGCAGGGAGGAGGACTGAGCCAGAGCCAGAGGAGAAGCCAGCCCACCATGGCCCTGGGGTGTGGGGAGCAGTGGGCACAGACTGATGCACCAGCAGCTGAGGGAGGGGAGGAACGGGCCTCCTTCCCCACTTAGGCCCGGTCCCACTCCTACCCTCTCCCCTGTGTTGGCCCCAAGCCCACTCCTCCCATCCTCTTGCCGCTGGGTCAGGCAAGTCCTGCTGCTCCCCCCACCAGCAACCTGGCTTGTCCCCAGCCTTGGGCCCGGCCCTCTCCTGCATCAGACCCAGGCCCACTCCTCTCCTTCCCCCACCTCTGCCACCATGGAAGGGAGTGAGTCTGAAATGGGGAGGGGGCCCGCAGACCCGGTCTGACATGGCCCAACGTGGAAGGGGAGAATGGGCCAGTGGCAGGGGGAGGGAAGTAGCAGGCCTCCTCCCCCACGTCGGGCCTGGGCCCATTCCTCCCCCATTCCACCCCTCCCCCATTTCAGCCCCTCCCCCACCTCTTCTGTCCCCCCGCTGCAGTCGGTTTTGCCCTGGGCCCACTGCTTCTCCCACGGTGGCCTGGCTTCTCCCCACGCCTGGCCCTGGTTCTTCTTCGCATCAGGCCTGGGTCCACTCCTCCTCTCCTCCTGCCACTGCAACAGGGAATGGGGGGAATGGGCCTGGACCCCAACCAGCACAAGGCTAGCGGGGAGTGGGCTCAGATGGGGGGGCATGGGGCTCCATGCCTGCCCACTCCACCCCCCATCATTCTTGATGGGCAATTGGCTAATTTAAAGAATATCTGAGTAATCTAACCAGCAAAATTATAATGAATTAATTCTCTAGAAATATCAAATATATGCCGCTTAAGTGCAATCTTTTAATCTGCTTTGCATTAGCCTAGTTTTATACAAAATGAAGCTAAACATTTTATAAAATACCATCCTTCAATGGCATTTCCAATGGAAAAAAGCAAAGGGTGGGGGAGGGACTTTCTCTCCTTTATCAATGCATAACAAAAAATAGTATTGTACTTCAAGCACAGGGCATTTCATGAGATCAGAGCTAGGGACAGAAGTTACACAGAGACCTGTTTAAGTGATCAGAAACTGGTTTAAACCTGTAATAGAACAGAAGTTCAGTACACATAGACCAGTATCAAAATGGCCAAAACTGGTTTAAGGTAAACCTGATTGAATGTTGTATCAAACTTTACTGATTTGGGTGAAATCAGTTTATCCCACTTCTGTCCCAGACCCCTTCCTGGTTTAAGTTAAACCATGGTCCTCCAGCATCCCAGCATGCTCTGCAGCCCTGGGCAGAGAGCAGAGATAGCTCTGCCCCTCTGCTCTCTAGCCCAAGTAGGGGCTAAGGCAGAGGGCATGGCCAGATTCCAGCCTGCCATGGCCCCCTGAGGCAAAGGGGGCAGGAAGGGGATTTATTGACCCTTCTCTCCCCTCTCTCCCCAGGGGACCCCAGCTGGGGTCTGCCAGCCCCAGCCACTCCCTCCACGGCCACAACCAGGCGGGGGGGTTAATTCCTTCCTCTGCCCCCTCTCTCCCCAGGGACCACAGCTGAGGTTTGACAGCTCCCACCTCCACCACTCACCCACAGCCAGGCAAACTCAGGCTGTGGTCCCACAGGGTGGTGAGAGAGGACTGAGGAAAGAATTAACCCCTTCCCTTCCCCCTTAGCCTTAGTGGGGCCATGCTAGCATGGCATCTAGTCATGTCTCTGCCCCTGCCCCTGCCCCTGCCCCTGCCCCTGCCCC